CCGCGGAGCCCGGGATGGAGCCCGGCCCCCCGTTCTCGGTCATTCCCCGTTCCCGGTCATTCCCCGGTCCCGGTCATTCCCCGTTCCCGGTCACTCCCCGTTCCCGGTCATTCCCCCCGTTTCCGTTCATTCCCCGTTCCTAGGGGATCCCCCGTTCCCAAACTCCCCCGTTCCCGGTCATTCCCCGTCCCCGGTCATTCCCCTATCCCGCTCATTCCCTGGTCCCGGTCACTCCCCTATCCCGGTAATTTCCCGTTCCCGGTCACTCCCCGGTCCCGGTCATTCCCCTATCCCGCTCATTCCCTGGTCCCGGTCACTCCCCTATCTCGGTAATTCTCCGTTCCCGGTCACTCCCCGGTCCCGGCCCCCCCCAATCCCGGGGGTCTCTCACGGCTGCTGCTGCCCCGCTCCGCCAGGGGGCGCTGCGGGCCGGTACCGCCCGTCACGTGTCACGTCACGTGCGGCTCCCGCCCGCCTGAAGGTCGCGGCACCGAGGCCCCGCCCCCTTCGGGCTGCCCAATGGGATGGCGCGGGGGGCGGGGCCACATTTTCAATGAGAGCCAATGAGAGGCGAGGGCTGAGGGGCGGGGCCCCGGGACCGGGAACCGAACTGGGACCGGGAACGGGGATGGGAACGGGACTGCGAATGGGAACGGGAACGGGAACGGGACCGGGAACCGGGACTGGGAACGGGACCAGGACTGGAACCGGGACCGGGAACCGAACTGGGACCGGGAACGGGACCGGGACCGGGAACCGAACTGGGACTGGGAGCAGGAGAGGGAGCGGGACCGGGACTGAGCCACGGGCAGGGACAGGGAGCGGGACACCGCGCACCCCTCTTGACTCCGTTTCACCCCAAATCGTCCCCATTCGGTTTATTTATAAAATCCCCTCCCCACGTTGCTGCGGGCGGGGCTGAGCTTTCCGTTCCCTGCGGGGGCTCCGTTCCACGGCTGCCACAGGGAGACCCCACACCCGGGGGTCCCCACGTCCCGGGGGTCCCCGCCCCGCGGTTTGTGCCGTGCCAGGTCCCCGCACCGCCGGGGGGGGTCGGTGTCGAGGGGAGGCTCAGCCCCCCCAAAATGGGTCTGTCTGGCAGGGGGCAGCTCCGTGCCCGGGGGGCTCTGGTGGCAACGTCGTCCTTGTCCTGGTCCTTGTCCTGGTCCTTGTCCTGTCCCATCTCCGGGAGCCACACGCTGGATTTCTCCTGCCTTTGAACTTCTTGTTTGCCTGGAACAGTAGGAAAGCTCCGGGGGGAGCAGGGTCTAGAGCACGTTGTGGAAGATCTGCATGGAGCTCATGATGTCCTTGTCCTGGGGAGGAGAGACCAGAGACCCCGCGTCCCCCTCCTCTTGTCACCCTTTGCCATCTCCCCTCCCATCCCCAGCACCCCTCAAATCCTTCTGCCAGCCCCAGCTCCCGTGCCTCTCCTCCTGGCCCTCCTCTGCCATCCCTCCCAGCGTCCTTTCGGGACAGAACACGGAGGAGGAGGAGGAGGAGGAGGAGGAGGATGAAGCCCCCCAGAGCCCCTCACCTCCTGGCACGTGGCCAGGAACTCCTCGAAGGTCACCACGCCGTCCCTGTTCCTGTCCATCTTCTGCAAGGGAGCAGCCAGGGCTCAGCGGGGCGCTCCTGGCCGCAGGGTGGCCCGGAGGTGGCCCGGAGGTGGCCCGGAGGTGGCCGGGGACAGTCTCACCTGGAAGAAGAGCTCCACGTGCTGGGCCGGCGCGCTGGCACCCAGCGCGGGCTCGGTGCAGCGGCCCATCATGGCATAGATGGACTTCATGATCTCCAGCATGTCCTGCGGGACACAGGGCGCTGGCAGGTCCCCGCCCGGCTGTCCCCGCCCTGCCAGCCCCCCAGTGTCCCCCAGTGTCACCTCCTTGCTGATGTGGCCGTCCTTGTTCACGTCGTAGAGGTCAAACGTCCACTTCAGCTTCTGCTGCTCCGTCCCCCGCAGCAGCACCGAGAGCCCCACGGCGAAATCCTGGCGGAGAGACCGTGGAGGGAGCGGGACCGTCCCCCGGCCTCCCTCCCTCCCTCCCTGCCTCCGTCCCTCCCTCCCTCTCTCCCGCGATCGATCCCGGCCGCCCCAGGGATTTCATCCCCATTGATCCCGGTATTTTTACCCCGCACCCGGCCACGGCCTGGGAGGGGAGAGGAGGAGGAGGAGGAGGGGAGGATGTGATGAATCACGCTGCTGGCGCGGCCATTCCCGCCAGGAATTCCCACCTGGAAGCACAGAGCCCCGTTGCGGTCCGCGTCGAAGGCGTCGAACAAGAAGTGGGCGTAGGAGCTGGCGTCTGCGGGCAGGGACGGTGACCGACCCCCGGCACCGGGCGGGGACGGTGACCCCGGCACCGGGCGGGGACGGTGACCGACCCCCGGCACCGGGCGGGGACGGTGACC